ATATTTACTGTTGGTGAATGGACTTTCTGGGTATGAGTGTGCCTTGGTTTTGCCCTTGTCCATACCCCTTAAATAATTAAAGATTTTAGTTCAGTTCAGTAGCCAAATTGCAGCAATCTGAGCAATCTCCTTAGAATTATCTTCCTAGTTACAAAAACACACATTATAGGACACCTTCCTTCTATCATCATCAACACTATACTGAATTATTACCCTATACTGCAAGCAAAAGTAGAACGCATTTCACCTGCAGAATTATTCCAATTGCTTTAAGCCTAGACAGATAAAACCCACTCTTTGAGTGGACTGCTTACTTTCTGTGAAGAGTGCTTCATAACACAATTATCAATGCTGAAACAAGTATCCTGCAGGATTCACTTAAGCCACACTGTGATCACACTCTCTTACTGAAGGGTTCCTGCTAAATCCATCCTTGGGCTGCACCTAGCAATTATCAAATCTGCAGGAGCTTACTGACCCATCTGACAACTAATTTTGGGAAGAAAACCCCAAACCCAAAACACCCAGCGACATAGGAAAAAAACCACCACAAAACCCCACACACCCCAGATTGGTTCCTGGATCCAGCTGGAAACTACCTCACCCATTCTGCAACCACAGCCTAGAACCAACAGGACCAAGAGCTGGAAGAAAATTTGCTTGAGGCATGACCTTAATTTAGCCAAAATCAATCAGGACACAGAGGATATTATATGCCTAACAGCAGACCCAATTTCCATTTACAAACTGCTCCTGCCACAGCAGTACAAATGAATTTTAAATGGATGCAAATGGACCAGGTATGTTTAAAATGTACTCTTGGCATGGATCCTCAACTGGAGTAAACTGCCACTGACTTCAAAGGTACTACATATCTACCCTTTGGGTGTATTTTTGGAGACTATTACTTTAGGCAATGAAAAAAGAAAGACTTCTAAGCAGTTTAAAACATACAGAGATGAATTTCTTTCCTCCAAAACATCACAGACTATGTGTGGGTTGCTGAAATGAATTTGGGGCTTACATATACTCAAAGGATTTACTGAGAGTGATAGAAATAACTACAAAAACCAGAAGATACAAACATAAAGAGAAAAGTGAATATAAAATACAAATATCTTTTGGTGAACTTTGAGGGTTTTTTCAGAATAACTTCGTTTATATTTATTATTTTTCTCCATTTATGAGACAAATTCATCAGTGTCCTTCAAGAGATACTAATTTCAAAGATATTTCTGCTGGGAAAAAATGAATGTGTTAATTCCTCTGCTCTTGTACACAACTAGAAGTCATATTGCTGTACACTATTCTTTTACACACAAAAATCCCTGTATGTGAAAATCTGAGTAAGGAGAACATGGAATTGCAAGCTTTCACACCAGCTACCTCAGTTCACACATCACTATCACTTAACACTTACCTGTGTCTGTATCTCAGTTCCTGCACCTCAGTGCTCATAAGATCAACTTTGAGTTTGCTTTATAATCTCTTGTTTTTCTACTGAGTCACTTGTGCTTGTTCCACCATAGGGTTCACCTTAAGAGGAAGTTTTCCCTTTTTCTTTCTCACATACAGGTTTCCCTCAAAAAGTAAGGTACACACAAGAGGAAACACCTGGATTGGCACAGGCAGCCACTTATCCCAGGAAACTGGGATGGGGAATCCCAGAACACTTTGCACTACAGTTTTCATCTGAAGGCAAATCCCTCCATGGGCAGGTTAGCTCTCAGCAGAAGCAGGTCAACTGGAAAAGTGGACAAGGAAAGAAAAACTCCCAGTATAGCTCCTGACTCCTAAATCTTTGATCCATGAAGTACCAAAGGGTACTTTGTGTCATCACAGTATTTTCTAGTAGCAGGGACATTCAAGCGTCCTGAATGATGAGCCACCACTGACATCCATAAGAGCAAGTCACATTTACCAAGTCACATTTAAAGAAGATAAGGAATCCTCCTGGCTTTCCTTCTTCACATAAAGAAGTGTTGTAGTTGCTACAGAGATATTACAAGTCTTTAATGGACAGAGGCTTCTATTAAAATAATCTGTTTTATCCTCTCATGGACAAAATTTAAAGTTTTGAGGCTGAGGGAAAGCTGGGGTTGGATATGTCATAAACAATGGGATTAGTAAACTCCCATAAAGAGAAGTTATCATCATGTACATTGAATTAGAAATAATAATAAAAATATCAATTAAATAAATTAACAGTAAGACTGTTAGTGAGAAGGTGGAAGGTAGCACAGAAACAGAGAGCAATACCACTTTGTTTCTGTTCTGTAGGAGAAGAAAGCAGCAAAAGATGCATTCCATTCCAAGCACGCTAATTAGTTCCTTGCTCTCTAATGACATAGATTAAATTTACTTTCTACATATCAAATCAGATTTAAACAGTAACGTGAACCTGGATGTTCAAGGTGTGCTGATCCTGCACACCTACAAATGTAAACCCCAAATTATATTCACATCCCTAATACATTGACAACCAGAAGTATTAGAATATCTAAAATAAGAGGAAAATTATGAGTACAAATCTGGGATCACGATTTTGACTGTCAGGTCTGGTTATGTGCTCAGGTATGATTTCATGTTATTTATGGGGGATTTCTGAATTCTCATTAAGCCTCTGCCATAGCCTCTCACCAGAACTGGACAGGTACACAACAGCTTTAATTCAGTTTCTATATTTGCAAAATGAAAATGACACAACTCTGGGGTTAAAAGACTTTGTAAGATGCATTCAAGGGTACAGTCTTTTACTGCTCTCATTTTCATCAGAAAAGCATCTCAAGTTAGACTGAGATTGACCAATGCAAGCCATAATTAAACCTCACTGGTTTCTTTCCACATGTCACTGCAAACTATAACATAAGAGCACAGTAGTTTACATGTTATTTCATTTACTTTTACAACTGAAATATTTATCCAGGTCAACACCCTCTCTTATCCACACTGAGAAAAATGATTAATGACGTGGCTCAAGCCTATACACGAAAATAAGTAAAGCTGCTACTTTATACTAGATTAGGATTTCACTGTCTTCCATGGGAAACAGTAATTCTGCACTTTTCCATACTATCCCACCTTTCCACACATGATACAGTGAGGTAACAGGAATGTGAAAGTCTGCTCTTCTGTCCCAGCTGTGAGGCCCTTTTAGCAAAGAATATATTTCAGTAAAATATCTATCTCACATACTAACTTCGCAAATTCCATTACCTTGCAGTCTACTGGCACGTAAGAACAGAGCTGGGACAGGGACTTTATGGAATGGTCCTGACAGATGCAGTACACCAGACACTCCCAGACCAGACAGATCATGCAACAGGCAGAAAATACTTTCATTTCAACAAGTGTTTTGAAAAACGTGACATAAGAAGTACCCCATGTACAGGAATTCAGACCTGAAAAGGTTAAAAACCTTACACCAATTGATCAATGGAGTTCTGGACTTTTAAAGCCAGAAATCGCATTTTTTTGTGCATGCTTACAAAAAAGCCCAGGCCAAGTGAAGGTACAAAAGAGTAACAGTTTATTACCACTATTTTTATAAGTCTACATCAGGTAGAACTGATCTTCTTCACATCAGCTGCTGTCAGACTTTCATTTAGTTCATTAAAATATCTTGTTTGGTCAGTTCTACCACTATAATTTATTTTAAACATAGTGAAAACTTAACTAAAGAGGCAACCTGACATTAAGCAGCCACTTAAAAGCCTTTCCAGAGTACCACTCCACTCTCTGTGGTGAGGGTTTGGGCACAGTAAAGTTTTGAGCCAGATTCCACTTTCCCTTCATTTCTCAGATCACTTTAATGCAAATTCCAAATTCAGGCAGCACCACCACAGACATGTTACCGTCAGTGAAACCAGCCAAAACACGTTCTCTAGTTTGAGGTGGTCTCTTTAGCTAAGGTTGGGAAAAGGCCCAAAATTGTGATCACTGCTCTGGTTTTTAAACCCCACTTCAAAGTCAAAAAGCTGATTTTCCTCTCCTGCTGCTTAAGGCATATTTAACTGGATACACATATGGCGTAAGTGCCAAACCCATTTAGAGTTGGAGGAACTTGCAAAACATACAGAGGCAGATTCTGTTGTTCTTACTCACTTTGAACAGCTCCAGCTAACCTAATGGAACTTCTCTACCCAATTAAGAAAAGCAAGATCTAATCCAAAAAGAATATGCACATTTTATAGTTGAAAAACATACTCTGCACAAAGTACAGTGGTAATCTGGGGAGGCTTTAAAGTGGCCATTTAATGGACAGCTATATACATGAAAAAGCAGCAGGACTATCTTATTTCAGAATTTTTTTTAAACAGGAACCACGTGTTATACTAAATTAATTATCCAAAATGTTTGTTAGTTGAGGGGAGGAATCTCCAACTCAGGGTGTTCTGGGGAGTCAAACTGTAAGTACTAATCTAATGGAAAACAGCAAACTTTTGCACTAAGTTAATACAAAATATTCGATTGCAAAGTACCATTCACCAGCTCTGTTTTTCACAGGCAGGAATTTCAACAAGATGGAGTGCAAGGTTTTCCCAGAGAAATCTTATGTCACTTCGTCCTTTATACCCATGTGCACGTATATTTATAAACAAACCGAGAACTACAGACGAACGACCTTCTTAAAACATCCGGTAAAAACACTATTTGAATCAAGGGGGAAGGAGGAAGGGGTGTTTTTTTTTTTTTTTCAGAAGCAAAGCCACACGGCTGTAACTCCAAGCTGATCCCGCGGGAGGAGCGGGGCAGGTGCCTCGGGGCACTACCCGGGACTCACCGGGACGGTTCCCGCCGCCCCCCCCCGAGGGGTCCCCGCCCAGCCCGGACCCCCTGCCCGCAGCCTCTCCTCTCTCCCACCCTCTCCTCCTCCATCACTTCCTCTCCCCCTCCCCGCGGGCCCCTTTCCCCCTCACCTCAGACCCTTTTCCTCCCCCGCCGTGCGCCCCCAGCCCGCCCCGCCTCGCCCTCCCGCTTCTCCTCCCCGCGGCTCTCACCCTCCCGGGCTTTCAGCAGCACCGTGTTGGCCACGATGTTCTCGATCTCCATGGTCGGGGGCTCCTTCCCCTCAGGGCAGCCGGAGCGGGGGCCGCCCCTACAGCCTCCTTCGCCCTCTCCTCCAGCCCCGCCACCGCCGCGGCGCCAAGCCTCGGCTCATCCGGCCCCACAGGACCTCAGCGCCGCGCTCGCCTCTTCCCCATCACCCGCTGCTCGCCCCGGCACCGCGCTCTCCCTCCCCGAAGGCGGAGGCGGGGAGCGAGCAGCACCCGCCCGCCCCGGCCATGGCTCCTCCGCCCGCCCCAGGCTGCACCGCCCCGCGCTCTTGCTCCACCGCCCCCTCACAGCTGCCTGAGACTACAAATCCCAGCAGGCACAGCGCGGCGCACGCGGGGGCGACGTCGGTGTTTCCGCGCGGAGCCTTTTGGGATATGTAGTGCGCCAAGCCTTCCCTGAACTCGTCCCAAAGCGGGAGGGGAGGAGAGTGTCAATTATCGCGGTAGTTTGGCGGAGATCTCGCGAGAGGTGTGGGGCTGCGGGTGCGCATGTGGTGCTCCCTGGCACTGCTGAGGGGAGAGCTGGGACTGTGCCGCTTCTTCGTCGTCTCCTCCTGCCTCCCCTTCGCTCCTTCCTCCGCTCTGCGGCCCTCTGGCTCTCACGGGGAGGGGGAGAGCTGTCCCGGAGGGCAGCTGTCAGGCTGAGGGGCAGTTCGGGGAGTTTTGCCCCCTCCCGGCGCCATTTTGCTCTCCCCGTTCGCCCCCCCAGCGCTGTCCCCGCGCTCTGAGGGGCTGAGCTGCTGCCTCCCCTCAGCCACGGGCAGCCAGAGCAGAGATGGGGAAGGCGGCGAAGAGGAAGAGAAAGGTGTCAGGGCCCTCCACAGCCAAGGGCCCCGTGAAGTCGGCGATGGCCGTGGTCAAGAGTAACCCCTTCGAGGTGAAGGTCAACAGGCAGAAGTTTGACATCTTGGGGAGGAAAACCAAGAATGATGTGGGGCTGCCTGGTGTCTCACGGTCCAAGGCCATCAAGAAGGTAAGAGGACATCTAAAATAGGGAGAAAGGATAGCATCCCCAGATGTGGGGAGATGATAAGGCTGGAGCCTTCTCAGGTGAGATAAGGGACCACCTTCGTCGTGCACAGGAATGTCTGGTCACCTCCCACTGCTCTGCAGATGATGGGGAGCTCTGGGAATGGCTCCCACTAGTGCAACCCACAGAATTCAGGAGTACAAGTCTTCCTTATGGCTTGTGTGGGAATGATTTTCTTTTCAAGTTACCCAGATCCAGAATACAGTGGCACGTGTTGTCTACGAGCAAATATGGGACCAGAGTGCTGTCAGTGTTCATTGCGTTGGTGGGTTTTGGTGATCATAGGATGTTAAAACTTCTTGATAATGATGCTGTGTTGGTGTAATGGTGAAAGCTTGAGAGGGCTCTAAGGTCTGAATGCAGGGAGAAATGTGTGGATACAAAGAAACTAGCATTGACCTGGAAACAAATGCTGGTAACCTTTTGTGAACTGATTAAATAGTCGTGTTGTTGAAGCATGCAGTGATCTGTCCTCTGCTCTCATAAGAATGATCGTACAACTTAACAAGAGTAAATCTTTTATTCCACTTTTGTACCATTCTAAAATTGTCTCCTTGTCTTTCTCTGCTGCCGTCACCAGCTACCTGTCTAAAATCTGTAATGTGTAAGGGAGAGCATGTCCTACTATGCGTCTGGGATTCCAACAGCCTGCCTTATCCTTGGGTGAAACACTGGATTTTTCAATGATCTGTCCCTTCAAACAAACCAGCAAAGAAAACCTCTGTAGATTCAATTAAGGCTGAAAAAAGTATAATTTGAAAATGTGCCCCTGAGATTCTCTCTGACATGTTACATACATTCTGTTTTCAAACAGATTTAAAGCACTTACTGAAAGGATAAGTGCAGCAAAAGCAAATGGATAGTTTGTCATTTTGCATGTGAGAGGTGATGTATTCAGTGTTTTTTTTAATCAGTAAGAGAGGTAATGAGATAATTGATAAACAAAAGTGCTTTTCAATATCCAAGTACATATTAAAGTACATATACAGTGTTCAAGCTGCATAATAATTATATTTTGTGCAGGAAGTAAATACAAGGTAGAACTGGCACAATAAGAGATGAAACCTGAGCTTTGGTGTCATTTACTGCCGCATCTGAAAATTGTGAATGCTCAGGGAGGCTGTGGAGGCGTCATGTAGGAAACAGATCCTTTTCTTCAGTGCAGCACTTTGCCAGGTCCTGGCAATATGAATGGCAGGAGTAACTTTACCAAAGATTCATTTAATGTGTTTTCAAAAAAATTAATTTTTTTTCAACCTAAACACAGCCAAGATTTTCTTTTTTAGAAACTATAGTATTTTCAGCATGAAATTATAAATTAGCTCTCAGTCTTCCTTGCTATTTGTCAAGACTTTAGAAAACTTCATGAATGTTTTAGATCACATTTTAAGAGTTGGAGGTTTTCTTTCATGGTAAAGTGAATCAGATGCTTGTCATGAATTAGATCACTGGCATTGAAAAATAAACCTGTCTCCTTACTTGTACCATAAGTAGAGTGCATTGTAACCAGGCATGGACCCACTTGGGGTTGTTATGTCTTAAATGAAAAGACCAAAAAAAGTTCAGCTGACTTCTTCTGGCTTTTTTGGTTTCTTTAATATAATATTCTTTGTTTCCTAAGCTTCAGACGAATCAGAATTCTTTAGCAGAAAGGCACAGTTTTTATATGTGATCAAATAAAGGTGAGATACAGTGTAACATATTTTGTCTTCACATGGGCAGCTTATAAGAGAACTTAGTGACACTGAATATATTGCATGAGCTTCCCATCTTTTTTTCTCATTAATTTTTCCTTCTCTTTCATTGCATTCTGATAAATTATTATTATATGATGACAACATAAAGCTTGTTATGTTGACAGGATACCATGGAGCCTTTTTTGCCTTGACTTAGAAAGTAGTTACTCTCTTTGTTTTTTTTTTAATTTTATCTCCTTTTGTCTTTTTCCCTCTAGCGCACCCACACATTGCTGAAAGAATATAAAGAAAGGGAAAAGTCAAATGTGTTTAAAGATAAACGTTTTGGTGAATATAACACCAATATAACTCCAGAGGAAAAGATGATCAGACGATTCGCTTTGGAAAGACAGGTAAACTATAGGAGTTTAAAGAAAAGAAAGCAAAACAAAACCAAACACAAAATCACAAGGAACGCTTGACTTTTGAGAGCACCCTCTTAGCAGAGGATTTTGCAGCACAGTGCTTTATTTTTGATTTTATATGTTTGGAACTTATGAAAAACGATTTTTTTTGTGGGAAATTTTTTCATTAAATCTTTCTGGTTTTGTAAGACAGCTTTTTGCAGGATAAATTTCTTTGAGCACTGACATTCAAGGAAGCCAGTTATAAGCAGATTCATTGATTATTCATTGATTATTTGGTTTTCTTGAACTGCTTTCACTACTGTGATGTGTGAATTGAATTAGGAAAAGGCAGCAACTGTCAAGTGTACTTTGAGATTCCAGTACAGCTGGAGAACAGCAGCCATTTCATTTGCTGAGTAGAAGAGCTCTGTAACTTGCTGTCATTCTGTAAAGTGAATTGTATGCACAGTACTCTCCTTTCTGCCTCATCATACTCAGCCTCCAGAACTGAGTAGTGTAACATCATACTCTGCTGGTAATTTGTATAGCTTTAAGGCTGTTTCATTAGGCCTGAAATGTAGTAATTAGAAACTGATGTTACAGATATAGATAGAAGTTAAGCTTCTTTATGTTTCCTGAGTTAGTCCATTTCTACATTAGTATAAGAGAGACATGATGCTCCCTCACTTAAGGTTTAATATGTTTGTATGAAAGTATTGGTCTGGCAGTGCTCTTATTCCAGTCTTGAGTTCCAGCAAAACACTGGAATAAGAATCTCCTCAAGTAGTACTAAAAATACAGGCTGTGTTAATTTGTTGTCTGGGAGCTAAAGATCTTTTGATATTTAATGGGTGTTTTACTGTTCTTAGCAAAATTATGGAAAGAAGAATATCTATAATCTTAATGAAGATGAAGAATTGACTCACTATGGCCAATCTTTGGCAGAAATTGAGAAACTAAATGACATTGTCGATAGTGACAGTGACACAGAAGAAAGGGGAACACTGTCAGGTAAGATGTGCCAGCTGGTGTCCCACTGCTGGTTTTATTGTTGGTAAACGTACATCATTTGTTCAGTCCTGTCTCTCAGTGAGGAAGAATATTATGTACTTGGTGGGAATGTTTAAGCCAGATTTAATTACTTCTTAACCACACACAGGCCAGTTCTCTGGATTTTAGCAGGTGTTAAGTTGGACATACCTACCTGGCAAGCTTCTTTACTCTGTGAGCTTCTCAGCATGAATAGGTACCTGTGTTTTGAGCTCTTGGGCCAGAGTCTGAAGTGTGAGTTTTCTGGCTGCTTTCTTGCACCTCTGAACCTAACTGCCAGATAAATATTGGAAAAAAAACCATGTCCCTACTTCATACAAAATGTTTGTTAGTGTAAATTATGTGTCTAATATAATCTCTTTTGGTACAGCCATTCCGTAGGGATGGGAATAATGTTTGATTGGTTCAATAGTTCTAATTGCTCCCATTCTCCAAGAATAGGGAGATACTGCCCCAGCAGCAGCTCTCCTGCAGTCATGTATGGATTTGAAAAGGATTCACATTCTACTTTTTTTTCCCAGCTGAATTAACTGCTGCTCACTTTGGAGGGGGTGGAGGCCTCCTTCGTAAAAAAGTATCAAGTGGGCAGGAAGATGAAGAGGAGGAAAAACCTAAATCTAGGAAAGAACTCATAGAAGAGATGATAGCCAAATCTAAACAAGAAAAGGTGAGTTTTTAGCCCTGAAGTACAAATGAACATGATTAAGAAGCTGTCGTGATTCCTGTGTTTGCAGAATAGAATAGTAGTGACATAGAAAACAAAGGAGGAAGCTGTCTAGGAGAAGAGTCTGAGCTCCTTAAATAAAGTCTATCTGACTCTGTAGGCATTTCAGGAGTAATAACTTGGGTACCTACCATTCTTTTGTATCCCCAAATCTCCCAATTTGTTGACACCTAATTTGGTTTCTGTATGCAGATCCTGTACCATCCAACATAGCTCTATATTGCTGCTTCTACAAAGAATGTTTGCACCTTATAAATGTTAAATGTCTGAAATTATTCATTTGCTAAAGACAGCGTTTTGGTTTTGTGCTGTAAATGCTGTGTCATGTCCATC